CTGCTCCGCTGATCCCGGTGCTGGGAGGCATATTACCCTTTTACTATATAGGATAGAGGCCTGGTGCATGGGTGGGGGCCGGCTGGTTTGCCCTGAAGGGTGTCCTGGATCAGGGTGGGGGTCCCGCTTGGGTGCCTGGCCAGCCTGGGTGAGGGGCTGAGGGCTGTTTTCAGGCTGGCGGGTGACTGAAGCTCCCAACCGCTCCTTTTTTTCTTTTGTTTTTTTATTCTGCGCCAGCTTTAGCTCTGAGGCTTGGCTCCAGCTCTGAGGCCTCGGCTGCTGAAAGCAGGTATCTGGTTTGTTTGGGTTCTATAATCGAAAGACTGTTTCAACCCCAGCTCTGAGATCCCAGCTGGCTGAAAGCAGGTTTCTGGGGTTTTGTTTAGCTTCTATATTTGTAACAATGTTTCATACTGCAAGCTCAGAGGCCGGCAGCGGCAGGCGGGGAACATTGGCTTCCTCCGTCACTAAAGAAAGCAAGCCTCATGTTCGCTTCAAGCTGCCTGGCTGCCGGCCGCCATCTTGGCTGGCAGTTAATTTGCATATCGCCTTGATTAGCCCATGGGAAGGGTAGTGGAGGTACGGCTAATTACCATGTTTCTCTTTTATTAGATAGGACTAGAGGCCTGGTGCATGAAATTCGTGCATGGGCAGGAGGGGCTTCCTTAACCCGGCCTGCCCCCTCTCACAGTCCAGGAGGATGTCCTCCAATGCAGGAGGCGACCGGGCTGATCCGGGGTAAGGCTCTGCCCCCATCACCCCGCTGCTGTTGCCATTGCCAGCCACCGCAGCTGCAGGACCTCGGCCCTCGCTTCTTAGCGCTGGCCCCACCCCCCGCCCACTGATTGGTGGGGGGCTATTTGGGGGCAGGCCGGCTGGGGGAGGGGCTGTGGGAGGTTGAGGCACAGCAGGTTGCACCCGTCCAGCCTCTGTGGAGGCGTGGCGCCTGGACTGGGCCCACGCTGCTGCCTCTGTGGCTGCCTCTGCGGAAGGGGGCAGCACTGGGACTGGGCTGCGCTGCAGCCTGTCCCGTGCCACCTCTGCAAAAGGGTCACGGCACTGGACCAGTGGTGTTAGACCAGCCCTTCCCTCCTGTGTGAGCGCTGGACCAGCCCGCCTCTCCCGTATTGCGCCAGACCCTCGCAACCGCTGTGGCTTTGGATGGACGTCTGGAAGACTTCTGCCCTAATTAGCATATTGCCCTTTTATTAGTATAGATAATAGTGGCCCAGTGCACATTGAAAGGAAATTAATTAGAAGAAATATTTTAATATCGCTATTCGCCCTTTCTCTATAATAGAAGTTTCAGATATGAAAGAAAATCACTGAAATGTATATGAAAATAATATATAAATTGATTAATAAATAATAATAACGAGATAACAACAAAGACATGATATAAAAACAACATTGATAAAAACAACGACTGATAAATTGATTAAACTTATTCTAATATCTCCCTGTATACCACATTAAGAGTAAAAACACTTTCAGAGTGCTTGACTAATTTCCCTTGTGATGAAGTATTTACAACTTTAACATCACACACTCTTTGAACGCTAGAGAAAGCAATGTATAACTGACCATGTCTGAAAATGGGGTTCAGGTAGGAATATTCCTACTCTGTCTAGATTGGCACCAGCGAGAGCTTTATATGTATCGCACATGCACGAGTCAACGTTTATTTTTAAATTGCCAGTGCACGTCATATGTACCAGATGGTCGGACGGACATACGGTCAGTCACTTAGCCTTTTATATATATAGATAGATTCTCTAACTTTGGTCAGTATAGGAGAAAGTTAATGATATTTTATGATTGCTGTGTGATATCATTTAACACTTAAAGTTAAGAATACTTTCCCTACCATAGATTTACCAGTAGTTATATTCAAATTTTTGTTTTTGTTAATCCTCACCTAAGGATTTTTTTTCCATGGCTTTTCAGTGAGAATGGGAGGGAGGAAAGAACGGGGAGAGAGAAAGAGAAACATTAATGTGAGAGAGAAACATCAAAAGTGGGTGGGGAATGAACCCATAACCCAGGCACATGCCTGTGACTGGGAATCAAACCCAAGACCCTTTGGTGCATGGGCCGACGCTCCAACCATTGAGCAACACCAGCCAGGGATATATTCAAATTTTTATCTGATGTTCCTTTAGAGCAGTGGTTCTCAACCTTCTGGCCCTTTAAATACAGTTCCTCATGTTGTGACCCAACCATAAAATTATTTTCGTTGCTACTTCATAACTGTAATGTTGCTACTGTTATGAATCGTAATGTAAATATCTGATATGCAGGATGGTCTTAGGTGACCCCTGTGAAAGGGTTGTTCGACCGCCAAAGGGGTCATGACCCACAGGTTGAGAACCGCTGCTTTAGAGCCTGTTAAATTTTTGTGGGAGTTGGCTATCGTATAATATATACAACAAATCTCCTGGTGATTTAATCAACATAATTAAGCAAATCTTAAAGTTTTATATTGGTATAATTTTTAAAAATCTCTTATAGACTAGCAGATTTTTAAGGCCAAAACATTTTATTAGTTCTTATGACTTAACAAGAAAAATAAAAATGGGGAGGGAGGAAAGAAAATAGATCAGTTCAGCTTGGTACTTTATTAAAATATAAGAAGAGATGAGATCTTTTCTTATCTGAGAATAGAAAAAAAATTATTTTAAATAGGGGAACCGAATTAGCAAGTTATTTATATTGCTTACTATATCTTGCTTTAATATTATTCAGAATAGCATTTGTTATTTTTCTTGCATTTTTATTGGGCCCCTATAACATCCCATTCATAGTCTTGAAATGAACATATGAAATGTTTTATAAACACATTATAAAACCAAACACAAAGGTTTTTGAGAATATCATATATCATTCAAGGCACTCCTATTGTTAGGACAGATAACTATAAGTTGACTTAAGATACATTAAGTACATGGTTATAAAGTTTTATCCATTGAACTGGAAGTTGTACAGAATTTCACAAGGAAAATTCAGTGATTAAGAACACAGACTCTGATAACAAGTGAATCTGGGTACGAGTATCAGTTTTACCATGTACTAAGTGTGTGACCTCAATTTTATCATCTGGAAAATAGAGGTTCTGTTAGTTTCTACTGCATACAGTTGTGAATATTAAAACACGTGAAAATTTTAACATATTCATGGCACTTAGTAACTACTCAATAAATGCCAGTGAGGCAAAACAGATTCTTATGCTAGTCAAGTTATATTTAGCTTCTCTGTACTTTAGTCACTTCATTTTTTTAATGTTTTTATCTATTTTTAGAAAGAGAGGAAGGGAGAGGAATGGAGAGATAGAAACATTGATGAGAGAGAAACATCGATTGGCTGCCTCCAGCATACCCCCAACTGGGGATTGAGTCCACAACCCCAGCTTGTTCCCTGACTGGGGATCGAACCAGCAATCTCTTGGTTCATGGGTTGACTGCTCAACCACTGAGCCACACTGGCTGGGCTCTTCATTTTCGAATTGGAATTAATAATATGTAGCCTTGTTAAAATAATATTAAGTGATATATGTTTTTATTTATTTGTAATGTGTTTTTTTATTGATGATACTTTTTTATAGAAGTACCTACCAAATAACAGGTGCTGAATAAATGTTGGCTCCTCTTTCTTCCCATTTCCATCATGAATACAGAAGCTAAATATTTGCCCTTAACCAATAAATAGAAGGGTAAAACTTATTTGCTTCCCTCTAGCCCTTTCATTCAGGCAATGCTGATTTTGAGAAGATTTTCAAGATGTAATTACAATGCTGTGATTCCATCTTCTCTGGTCAGTGAAACTAACTACTTAGACTGTATAACCAAGTAGGTAAAGGCAAAATGGAGCTGACTCTAATGACTTATTTAAAAAATACTGTGTGCTACAAATGATTCTGTACATTCTTACAAAACCTAAAATATTTTACTGTCCAGAAAAACTGTTATTACACCTGGTGTTTTCTGAAATGATGCACATTTATGACTTTCAAACTTTTTAAAAGCTTCTGTGGAACTCTGTTTAAATGTTGTTCAAAAGAAAAAGATGAAACCAGATTCTGCTCCATTTGCTGCAGGCTTGGGGAATACCTCAGTTCCACCCCACTGCCGCACTCCCAGCAAAGTGTGTTCCAGGGAGCATAATTTGATATGGCTGATCTAGGCAACATGGTATTTAAAGTTACATTTTCAGTTTCATGGTGAAATTGTCTACACTGGGAGATACATCAGAACTACATTTCATTTTTATACTATGTTTAAGAACTAGGATTCTCCCCCTTGCTGGTTTGGCTCAATGGATAGAGCATTGATCTGCGGACTGAAGGGTTCTGGGTTCGATTCTGATCAAGGACACATGCCTGGGTTGTGAGCTTGATCCCCAGTAGGGAATGTCGCAGAAGGCAGCCAATCAATGATTCTCTCTCATCACTGATGTTTCTAGCTCTCCCTTTCCCTTCTGTTCTGAAATTAATAAAATATATAAATATATGTATATGTATATGTATATGTGTATGTATATGTGTGTGTGTGTGTGTGTGTGTGTATATATATATCATAAAAGCCTAAAAGCAGGCGGACATCCCCTGAGGGGTCCCAGACTGCGAGAGTGCACAGGCCGGGCTGAGGGTCCCCCCTACCCCATGCACGAATTTCATGCACCAGGCCTCTAGTATAAATAAAGAACTAGGATTCTCTCATCTTGTTTAATCTTTATAACAACAGGCACATGTATTAAGGTCCTAGGGACTTAAAGAAAAGGGGATAAACCTTGCACACAAAAGATACTACTTTCTTCATCTCAAAGCTAACCACTAGGAGTCTGATCATTATTTTCTTAAAGGTAGAATATTTTGAATGACCATATTTGTGCATATGAACTTTTCACTGACTTCAATCTAGTTCATTGGTTGCTGGGCTTTAGTGTACGTAATGCTTATGGAGTTTTATATACAAACCCACATGCATTGTTATTGCAGGCAATGCAAATGATTTTCAAGGATAGTTTTGACTGAAGTGCTAAATATTGTCTTATGTGTTAAATTAAAGCTTAATATCCAGAATAAGTTGCAACTTACCATATATACTTCCTCCCAAAAAATGCATACAATGAAAATTTGAATGAGTAGTCTGCATTTGATTAGCTTTATACAATAAGGTTTTTAAAGCTTCCCTTTTTTCATTTTAAGATTTTCTACAGTACAATAATCTTTTAAAATGCTCATATTTACTAATACAGAACGTTTATTCTTTCAAGGACTTGAACTTTTTACTGCCATTTATTTACAATTGGAGGGTGGCAAAAAATGCATTTAATACTAGATAGTATTTTAAGATCTGCCCTTCAGTAGGGAGACATGTCAAATATATACACAAAACTAGAAAACATAACTAATATAGGAAAGAAGTGTTATAGAGCAAAACAGGGGGAAAATTATCAATGTAGATTAGGTACAGTAAACTAAATCATATTAGAATTTTTCACAGTAACATCTTTTTTATTCTTGATAGGCAATTAAACAATAAAGTGTTCATTGCCCTGGTACAATGGTAATGATTTTTTTCTCAAAATTTGGTACTCTCTGTCTCTGTCTTGGGAGGACTCTACAAACCAAAAAGTAAGTTTGAAATAGTCCCTAAAAGACTTCTACAAACAGCCAAAAGGAATACCCATAAGTCTTTATACTAAAATACTTATTACTTATTTGTTATTTATTAACATTTTTAAAATATCCCCATCCCCAGTTTTACTGAGATACAATTGGCATATAGCATTGTACATTATTTTAAGGTGTACAACATGATTTGATCTCCTCTATAATAATAAAAGCATAATATGCTAAATAGACCGGACGTCTTTTCCCGATCCTTCCTTCCGGACAAAGCCACAGCAGATGGGGGCCGAGGCAGAGGCAGCAGAGGCCCCTGGCTGCAGTGGTGACAGGTGGGGGCCAAGGCAGAGGTGGCCACTGTGGCAGTGGGGGCCAAGGCTCTTGCACGAATTTCGTGCACCGGGCCTCTGGTATATAATAAAAGCCTAATATGCTAAGTGTCCGACCATTCAACCGTTCAATCAGTCACTATGATGCACACTGACCACCAGGGGGCAAGGTGCTCCAACTGGTAGGTTAGCTTGCTGCTGGGGCCCAGCTGATTGGGACTGGTCAAGACGGGCTGGACATGCCTTGGAACCCTCCTGTGCCCCCTCCCTGGCCCCAATTGTGCACCAGTGGGGTCCCTTGGCCTGGCCTGCACTCTCTTGCAATCCAGTACTTATCGGGGATTGTCGGAGAGTCGGTTTTGGCTCGATCCCCGCAGGCCAGGCCAAGGGACCCCACCGGTGTACGAATCCGTGCGCCAGGCCTCTAGTATGTATATACTGAAAAATGATTACCACAGTAAATTTAGTTAACATCCTTCACTTCATATAGTTAGTGTTGTTTTTTTCCTTGTGATGAGAACTTTTAAGATGTACTCTCTTAGGAACTTTGAAATACATAAAGAGTATTGTTAACTAGTCACCATGCCGTACATTCTATCCCTGGGACTTACTTATCTTATAACTGGAATTTGTACCATTTCATCCTTACTCCCCACCTCTGGCTTCTACCAGTCTGTTCTCTGTTTCTGTAAGTTCAGCTTTTTTAGATTCCACAAAAAAGTGAGATCGTACACAGTATTTGTCTTTCTCTGTCTAACTTGTTTCACTTAGCATAATATTCTCAGGTCCATCCCATGTTGTCACAAATGGCAAGATTTCCTTTTTATGACTCAGTAATATTTCATTTTACATAATTAACAGAAGTGGAATTGCTGGATCACATGGTAGTTGTATGTTTAATTTTTTGAGGAACCTCCATTCCTTTTCCATAGTGGTTGTACCAATTAACATTCCCACTAACAGTGTACCAGGGGTTCCTTATCTCCACGTTCATGTCAACACTTGTTATTTCTTGTTTTTTTAGTGATGACGTGAGGTGTGATATCTCTTGGTGGTTTTGATTTGCATTTCCCTGATGATTAGTGATGTTGAGTTATACTAATCTCTTTACTTCTATTATCTAATTTTTCCTTAAGGTAATTCTGGAAAGTTGTTTTATTATTTCCTTTTTACATATGAGGAAATTATAACTTATGAGGAAATTAACAAAACAAATTATATGGCTAATGAATGGTGGAATCAGGATTTTGAAGCTATATCTGCATATTTCTATAAGTACCTGCTTTTATCCATTGCAGCATGAATCACCCATACAAATTAAATTATTTTGAGCTTAACAACAACCAACCTGTGCTTTGTCAGGTACTATTATTCCCATTTGAGGCCCAGATTTTGAGTACCTTAGATAAGATCTAAGTAGCAATACCAGGATTTTGTTGTTCTTGATCTTATTTTTTTTCTTGCTTAGAAAATGTACTAATGAGAAACATTTCTAATACTAGATAAATTAGGTTTTACCAAAATAGTTTTAGGTTTATTTAACTTCCTTTAATTATTGTTTAGAGCATAGATTCTGGCAGCCAAGCTTTTCTCATAGAGTTCTCAGAAACTTAAATAAATTTTGAGCTATGACATGTTTTGAGATGCTCTGTTGAAACATAATAATAATAAAGCTAACCATTATGGAACACCTGTTACACAGCAGGTACCATTTTAGCACTTTGTTGGCATTAACTAATCCTTACAATTGCCCTACTAGGAATATGTTTTTCCTATGTTTTACAATGAAGAAACAGAAGCACAATGAGTTAACAAATTGACCAAGGTTAACCCATTCTAAATGGCAATGGGATTAACATCCAGCAGTCTAGTAGCTCTGGAGTTCAAATACCTGTCTTTTACACTCTATATACTGACTTTTCCCCAAATAATTTGAAGCATGTGTTTTCAAACTTACAGTATAGTCTATATTGCTTTATTTTTTAAATGGGTTGAAAATAATGACTGATATTACAAAGGACTGAAGAAAAATACATGCAGCATTGAATCAATTATTTATTTTGGTGGTTACTGGAATTAAGTGACAGGCTGTAATTTCATATTTATCCACAAGATGGTGAAATTTTCATTAGTTTTTAATTTTTTGAAACCCATATAAATTGTTAATTTATAATTTGACACCATTTATTATAAGCACTTTAATTTCTTTTTACAGCCCATCTGCTGGCAAGGCCAAGATTAGAACAGCTCACAGGAGAATCATGATTTTGAATCACCCAGATAAAGGTAAGTAAAATTCTTACTTTTCATAATATGAGGATCAGAATCTGCTCTGAATTCTTTTCAGTTTACTTGAACTCATTATAAATGATTTATAGTTTAAATGGAAGTTAATATGCCAATGTATTGTGATGTTTCTTATAATAAACTAGAGGCCGGTGCATGGAGGTCCCTCGGCCTGGCCTGCACCCTCTCAAAATCCAGGACCCCTCGAGAGCTGGTTTCAGCTCGATCCCCGCAGGCCAGGCCGAGGGACCCCACCAGTGCACGAATCCATGCATTGGTCCTCTAGTATGCATATAAGGTCTTTGGTTAATCTCTTCCCACCCTCCCCCCTTTCCTCTTCCCTCTGAAATTCATCAGTCTGTTCCATGTTTCCATGCCTGTGGTTTCAGCTCCTGTGTTGAGTGTCTCCCTCTAGTGGTCAGTGTGCATCATAGCAGTCAGCCGGTCGCTTAGGCTTTTATATATATACTAGAGCAGTCTGGGACTCGGGAGATAACGACCTGCTGGCTTAGGCCTGCTCCCTGGTGGCAGAGGGCAGGCCCAATCCCTAAGTGCAGCCCCTAGTAGTCCTCAGAGCAGGGCCGATTGGGGAGTTGGGGCGCCGACCCTGTCATGCACAGAGCAGGGCGGATCGGGAGGTTGTGATGCCACCCTCAGTCACGCTCAGGGTAGGGCCAATTGGGGGGTTGGGGCACCGCCCCCTGTCACACTCAAGGCAGGGTCGATAGGGAGGTTGCAGCGCCACCCCCTGTCA